ACCCTCATCACCCACAGCAGTGGGTATTCATTATTTAAACAACCCATGCCTCTGAAGTCTTATTTATCCAACATCTTTCCACAGCATATGTCAAAATTTACGGTAAGAGCATTCATCCCATAATAAACATTTGGCTTTGCTGGTCTACCAGCGGCAGGGCTAATTAGGGAGAGGGATTCCCTTGTTATCTGAAGGGAGGTCAGATACAGCAATTACCATTGTTGCACAGCTTTAATTGTGACTTGGAGGCTAGGCCCTTTGGTGCCAGGTGGGGTGGAGAAATTGGCAGGGAGGAAAGGGGAGCCTTCCCCAGCAAGCTCTGGGAAGCCACAGCTATGCTATGAAAGGCAGCTCAGCTAGTTGGTTTCCTGGACTCCTAAGTCTCTGTATGCAATCTGAGCTCCCTGCAGGCTTTTCATCTTCCAAGCAGGGCCCGATCATGGAATATTCTCCCACCGACCTCTGTCTCCCCAGCCATCTCTGTGAGCATTCAAGAGGACGCTTCCACTTGAAAATCCTGTCATTATCTCAAACTCAAAATATCCAAACTAAATGGACACATCCAGGAATCAGAACCGTAGAATTTGAGAAGAAGCTTAAAGATCATTGGGTTCATCGTTCACCCCTTCTTCTGGATGTCTCTAGGTCAGGCAGTTGTTCAGCTTTGGTGGGTCACTCTCTGGACCCCTTTCCCTGGGGAGGAAAGAGATAAGTGCTCTGGTTTGGGCTGGGATTCTCTAGGAGCAAGGGCTGGCCATGGGCCTGGCTAGGCTGATTGCTGGATACTAGGTGTGCCATCCCACAATGCAATGCAAATTTAAAGGCAGAGAGGTCCAAGAGGCAGGTACAAGGAAATAGGCAGAGAGCCAGGCTCAGCTCTGAAGCAGAAGGGGATAAGATGGAACAGGCAAGAGCAATGGGGGTCAAGAAGACTGCCATTCAGGGGTCCCCAAAACCACTCTTAGCTTTAATAATTCACCAGAAGTACTCATGGAATTCAGCAAAACTGTTAGACTCACAGCTACAGTTTATTAGCAAAAGGTTACAGGTGAAAATCAGCAATGGAAAAAGGTGCAGAGGCATAGTCCAGTAGAACTCCAGGTGTGGACTTCCCTTATCCTCTCCCAGTGGAGTCAGCAGACAGCTCCTAATTCCCTCACAAATGATGTTGGCAACACACACAAAGCGTTGCCAACCAGGGAAGCTCAACTGAGCCTTGGTGTCCAGTTTTTATCAAGGGTTGCTCATGTAGGCATGGAGCTCCTGCATGACTTACCTCAGTCTCCTGCCCCTCCAGAAGTCAATCTGAGACTGAGACCAAGGACCTCAGGTAAAAACGAAGGTGCTCTTACTGGGCAGATATTCCAAGGGCTGAGAGGCTAATTCTCAGGAGCTGGGCAAGGGCCGAACTTCTCCGTGCGAGGTGAATCCCTACACTCCCTGGGAAGCTATCAGAGGGAGGAGGCAAGGCCATGTTGGAAGAGTGGGCTCCAAGTGGCACAGAGGTCTAGGCCTGCCCCAGAAGCAACCCCCTGCCTCTCCGCCCCAATTGCCTTGGGGGTGGGTCAAAGAGACACCAGCATCAAGTACAGAGGAGTGCTTCTCCACCTGGGAATGGGCTGGTCTCTGAAGAGGAAGTCTGAGGGAGGAGGCTGTTTACAATGTGAGAGCAACACAACACCAGGGTGAGGAGTGAGAGGATGAGGAGCATGAGGCCATCAGATACACACTCCCAGGGTCTGAACTTTGTTGTTGAGGGGCAGCAATTATGGTGAGGGGCAGCAATTACGGTGAGGTGGGGTTTAAAGCTTGTGTTTTGCACTTACCAGCTTTGTCACTTGGGGCATGTTACACAGCCTCCTGGAGACTCATTTTTTCCACCTGTAAAATGGGGATGGTAACAGTTCCTGTGTAACCAGGCTGCAGTGAGGGTTGCATAAGGTGAACATGAGATAAATGGTAGCTATCTTTATCCTCACCATTAATACCTTTCCATGAGGCCAAGTGCTTCTTGAGATATTCTTGGCCTCTGTAGAGTTCTTTCTCATATCGAGATGAAAACTGCTTTTATACAACTTTCTGTTACACTGTTCTGGCCCTCCTTCCTGATCTTCCATTTCTGTCAGTGGTATCACCATTTTTGTTCTCCGGGACCACCAGTTCTTTATTCTTTCATTTATTCCTTCACTCATTCATTCAATACATGTTTATTGATATTTTTGTCTATTGATATTGATACCGTGCTTAACGCTGGGTATAGAAGAGAAAATAAGATATTCCTAACTCCCAAAGGACTCATGGTTAAATGAGATAGCAAATAACTGCATAAAATAAGCCGTTAAAATGTTCTGGTTGGCAAGTGCCTTGAGTACTTGGGGCATAAAGGAGGCAGTGATCTGTTTTATCTGCTCCTTCCCCTCCCTAAGGCACCTTCACACTTGTCTTTATTCCCCCCATGAGATAACTTCCAAATTTTCTCTTTCTTTTTTATTCTTGTTGCTATGGGTTCAAGAATTGTAAATGAATTGATTCTCAGGTTGGAACTCACAATAACTGCTAGTGATATCCTAGAGGATTCCAACGCTGCGTTTTGGCCAGTGAGACCAGATAAGACAGTCTATCAGAAAAGAATTAGAAAGCTGTGATCATGGAGAATACATTCTGGTGTCCTATAGCATTGTAGAATGACTAGAGTTAACAATAATACATAGTTCCAGATAGCTAAAAGGAGGATATTAAGTGATCCCAACACAAATAAATGCTAAATGTCTGAGATGATGATATGCTAATTACCCTGATCTGATCACTATACATCATGTGTATTGAAACATTGCTGTGTACCCCATGAATATGTACAATTATTATTTGTCCATTAAAAAATAAAATTAAAGAAAAAAAGCTGTAATCATGATACAATTCAGCCTTCTGCCATTTGTGCACACCCAAGGCTCAGATTAGGCAGACACCCCGGCTACATACAAGCCCCTTAAAGTGCTACCCACTTGCATGCCCCCACTCCCTGTTAAGCACCACACCTACTTCGTGACTCACCACCTCATCTCAAGCACACCCCATGACTCACAGTGGTCTCTCCCTTCCTGGAATAATGCCCACAGCAGGACTTGCTGCCTCACGTCTGCTGTGTTGTCTTCATTTTGGATAATATTTTCGTTGGGTGGGACTTACCCATTTTATATCATTGGTGTCTCTTTCACCCATTCCCACCCCCAGCCTAGTGTAGGTCTGGGCTCCTGATGGGTGCTGACTGATTGATAGATAGCCATTCCAGGTGATTGTGAAGGCCTCTGCCTCCACCACACCTTCCATGTTGGAAATGCCTTGGCTACGTTGCCTCCAGATAAGGCACTTGCCTTAGTATCTCTGAAGGGACAATATGATGATTAGAAGAAAATGCCTATTCTCCATCTCTCCGTTGCTTGCACTCAGTCCTTTGTTGCTGCAACGTCTCTCTGCTACTTCCCTCCACATAACCCAAGAAAAAATGTCCAAGTGGATCTGGGAGCATTCCTAGCCTGCATGGTGCTCACTCTGTCAAGGCTGCCTTCATAGAGATGACAGCTCAGAAAAGAGTGGGGAGGGAAGTTTGGGGGCTCCTGCAGGGAGATGGGAACTCCATGGAGAAGCCAATATTCCACATATGTGACCTTCCATAATGCAAACATAGGAGGATGGGAAGGTTTCCTGGGACAGGACAGTGCAGCCCATGGGGAGCTGATCCTGGTGAGAGGGACTGTGGCTCTCCACTCCTTATGAAAGCGGGAAGGGATGAAGATGACTGGGAGGGCCTAACTATTAAAATCTGGAACTAAGGTGCTCAGAACAGCGACAAAGTGAATCCAAAGTTTTGGAAGCTATCCTTCAGCAAATGTTTACTAAGCAGGGTTCAAGGAGGCATAAGAGAACTGCTGTTAAAAATCATCCATGCACCCATCCATCATTCATTTCTCCAGTAACATGTTCTGAACAGCTACCATGAGCCAAGAAAGGTGTTAGGCACCAGCACCACGAAGAGAAATACCATAGAGTCCTTGTTGAGGAGGCTGAGAGTCCATCAGGGATTCTGAAGCACAGGAGACAGGCAGGGAAGGAAGGAATGAACTTGGAGAGATTAACTGGAAGCAGGCAACCAAGCGCTTGGAATAGTAAGCTGGAGAATGTGGTCTTAGTTGCAGCTGGGGAGGCCCTGAGGCATTTAAGCGAGGGAAGGAAGGGTATGTTTAGAAAGGCTGTAGTGGCAACAGCATGGTGGATTGCTTGCAAGGGAGCAACCTGAAGTCAGGAAAGTCAACAAGAGGAGAGGAGGAATCTAAAAGACTTTTGCAGTTAGAATTTATTTGAGGAATATATACAAAGCTGTCCACAAGAAACTGAGCACTGAAGGAAACCACTCGGTTTCAGCATGGTATGGAAGCAAGACAAACTAGCAAAGAAGAATTGTGATCCCAAATGCCAGATGGAAGGAGGAGAAAATGCACTCACCTACTGTGAAAATTCACTTACATTGAGACACAGGAGAGAAAAGTGATACTAACACCAGCTTTGAGGTCAGATAGAAAATAACTTGACACTAGTTGTGCAGATTTGACACACCACTTGACCTCTCTAAGACTCAGTTTCTTTGTCTTTAAAATGGGTTCAAACTGTTTTGAGGATGAAATGAAGTCGTGTGTGTAACACTTAGCATAATGCCTAGAGTGAAGCAAGTTCTCAATAAAAGTCAATTGTATTTATTGTTAGGAATTAGTTGACAACAACAACATTTATTGTCATGGAGTGTCCTTTTTCTCAGAAGGCTGGAGAAGGAAAAGGGGAGTAGAGGGCCCTGTAAACAGCCTGGCTAATTGTGGGTAAGCCTGCTTAGCAGTCATAAGACAGTATTCATATTTTGGAGCTGAGCACCACTAAATAGGGAAGCAACTCCTGAAGAATTAAGACACAACTGTGGAGTCTGACCTGGGTGCCTTTGTTTTGTGTTGCAGATTTTTCTGTCTTGACTTCTCTGACAGAAGATTGCAGTGTCTCCTGGCACACCAGGGGGAATGTGGCAGAACAGGAGGGGTGAACTTCAGTACTATAACCAGGCTGGTACTCTAACACCAGCTTTGCACCTTGGTGGCAGCATGAGCACTTTAGTTAGAGTCCCAAGTTAGACTCTAGTTAGATGTCTCAGCCATCCCCCCCCCCCGCCGTCACATGGTGGCTGTCTTTATTGAGGGGTGAAGGGAAATTCTCCTAAGAAATATAAAGCTCTTCTGGGGTCACCTTCTAAAAACCATCCAGAAGTGGGTGAGCCTATCCTTGGGACTTCTTTCTTCACTCAGTTGGCTCCTGCTCCTTCAAGAACTTTTGGGGACAGGATGAAAGAACTCAAGGCTCCGGGCTTACCCACCACAACTTTGTAACCTCGCTTTTGCCATAATGGTCTCCTTATGCCTCCACTATGAAATGACCAGGACTCTTATGTTTTTTTCTCCTCTCATTCCTCCTTTTTTCTCTTCAGTATAATCTCTCTTTATTGAGAACTTACAGTATGCTAGGAACTATGCTATATACCCATACTACATCTCATTTAATTCTTACATATCCCTGTGAAAGAGGTAGTCATATGAATACCATTTTATATGTGAGAAAACCAAGGCATAGAATAGTTAAATAAATTGTCCAGGATCTTCTAGTTAAAAACTGGCAGAGTCAAGATTCAGTCTCAGGTCTTTTTGATGCCCAAACATATATACTTTACCTTTAAAAGTGTGGCTCATGGATGCCTGGAGTTTCCTAGGTCCTTTACAGGGTTCTGTGAGATCAAAACCATTTTCATGATGCTATTTGCCTTTTTCACTGTGTTGACATTTACACTGAAGGCACAGCATCAACGATGGGTAAAACTGTAGGCTGCTTAGCCCAAATCAAGGCCGTAGCACCAAACTGTAATACTAAACATTATATTTTTTACTAGAACGCACTTGCAGAATAAAAAAAAATCACTTTTACTCAAGAATGTCCTGATGTGGCAGGAAATATTAAGTTTCTTAAATGTTGACCTTTGAGTACATGCCTATTTAATATTCTGTGTAATAAAATGGGAAGTATGCAAAACCAATTTGTGCTCAATATGTTCGTCTTGAGGAAAAGTACATGTGCATTTGAGTTGCAAGCTGAACTAGCCACTTTCTTAATAAAATACCCGTTTACTTGAAAGAATGAGTGACAATTTATGACTAACCAGACTTCAGTATTTGGAAAATATTTTCTTACAGATGAACAAAGTGAGACTGTCATTTCAAGGAAAATGACTGACAGTATTTGTTGCCATAGATAAGACTGAAGTTTTTAAGCATATTAGAATTTGTGAAAATTTGTATTCATATTGTATCAGTCACGGTCTAGTCAGGAGAGAAAAACCACCTTGCATTTAAATAGGGAAAGTTTAACATAAAGAATGAACTATTTGTAAGAACAAAAGAGAATTCTAAAGAATACCCTAAGACTAAGGGAGAGTTCCAATAAAGGAAGAAATTTGGGTAAGGGCTGGGAATTAGACTTCATTGGAGTTGGTATCATGGTAGCCCCCTGCATGACGGGAAGCTACTCTGGGCCAAAGCCCATCCACAGTGAGTAGGCCAGGCCTGGCAGATGGGAAACTGCTTGTGATGGTCAATGGAATTTGCTGGAAGCTGACATGGAGGCTGGTGAACATGCTGGGAAGCCCAGCTGTGGCACACATAGCGTTTACCAAGAAGCCCTTCTGTGGTCCTAAGAGGCTGCCCCTAGGGAGGAGCTGCAATGGTGGGTGAACTTTCCATAAAGCCAATCTCCATGGTGCCAAGGAAAGCTGGTAATGGGGAGATGCCAACTCCAATGAACATGACATTACTTAGTATCCCATGCACTGCTGGGTACCATGCACCAAGGAGCAAGCTGAGAAGATCACTGGAAGCAGGAAGAAAAGCCCTTTCCTCCTCCAGTGTTCTTCCAGTGCTGTCTACTGACAAAAGTTCCAACTGGCCAGTAAGAAACATTCCAGTATTACAAGCAGGAATGAAGGTAGCCTTGGAGCTGAGCAGCAATAATTTGATGGCTGGCATAGTCCACCCTTTTGTTTACACAACTTCTGCACACACTTGAACTTCTGTTTGACACTGAAACAACTGTCTTTCTACCTAATGAGTTATAGCTATCCTTTGAACTAGTGAAATGCTCATCCTTTTCCTAAACAGATGTATAGTCTCAAGAGTTATTGTATCCATTGCTGGGTATATTAACATCTCCTTAAATTTAGCCATGGTACTACTAAATAACACCTAAACAGAACATTATAAAGTTTAATCTTCAACAACTTGTGTGTAAAATGATGATGAGGGGCCTGGCAGCCTGGCACCTCTTCCAAGGTGGTTTCCCTTGGTTTCCCAGAGGAAGGCTTCCCAGGGAGCTCTCCTACACGGTGTAGCATTTCTTTATGGGCAGTCTTACAGAAGGCACCTTCCTGGGGAGTTCCACAGGTTCCCTAGCTGGCTTACCAGTTAGCTCAACGACATTTCTGAAGAAGGCTTCCCTGTAAGTTTCATTAGGTGCCCTGGCAGGGGTTTCCCGTTTTCCAGTTCCTGTTTCCCAGCCTCAGCTCATTGACTATGGTCCAGCTTGGATCCAGGCAACCCAGAGAACTTCTCTGCCTTCCTGCAGGCTGTAATCGCACCTTCTCCAACGAGGTCTGAATCCCAGTGGCCCTTGCACTGGTAACTTCCAAATAGTTAAAGACTTTTCTGACGCAATCTGAGGTGATATGGACAAATGTGGATTTCCAATATTGCATCGTGAAATGTATCAACATTTGCAAGATCTGCATAACTCAGTGAACCAATATTTCCAGATGATCAATCCATGCTGCAAAATTCCATTTCAAGTGTAAGATAGATCAATGGATTTTAATGTAACATTATATGAAAAGGGTTCTCATTCCAAGCTGTAACCTTTAAGAAAGCACCATTTTTTGAGTTTTGATGTAATTTCCATAAATATCCACAATTATCAGAAAAGATTATTAAGCTATTCCTCCCCTTTCCAAATACATATCTGTGTTAGGCTGTATTTTTTTCATATGCTTCAACAAAACAGCCTATCACAACAGGGTGTGTTCAGAAGCAGGTACGCGAATCCAGCTGGTTTCTATTAAGGCTGCCAATAAAGAGATTTGTGAATGTAAAACAAGGCCACTGTTCTCACCAATTTTGTTTTGGAAAATTAAAAAACTCTTGTATATATTCACGTATAATAGATATGTTATTTTTAAATGAATTAATAAATATTTTATAATTTTCTCTGTCTCTCAGGCTGGAGTGCAGTGGTGTGATCTGGGCTCACTGCAACCTCCATCTCCAGGGTTCAAGTGATTCTCCTGCCTCAACCTCCTGAGTAGTGGGGATTACAGGTGTCTGCCACCACACCCGGCTAATTTTTGTGTTTTTAGAAGAGGCAGGGTTTCATCATGTTGCCCAGGCTGGTCTTGAACTCCTGGCCTCAAGTGATCTGCCCACCTTGGCCTCCTAAAGTGCCGGGATTACAGGGGTAAGCACCACACCCAGCCACTTTTCTCAGTTTCAATATCCAGTACATTAAATATCAATAGACAAAACCTACACAAACTTGAGGTCTTGGGGCTTCAGTGTGAAGAAGTTCTGAGACTAAGATTCCCGGGAGCTGCTGTTCTGGACTAGAGTAACTTTCCTTCCAAAAGTGAGTCCTGTGAGCTTGAATGTGGACAGCAGCTAAGGGCTGTGGCACATCAGCCACAGGGGTGCCTCTGCATTTGGGGCTTGAAAATTCAAAGATATTTACATCCAGATGCCTAGAGAAGCTTCAACTCCCATCTCATTTTTACAGCATTGCACGTGCTCCCTGGCCTTTTGCCTTCTTTGATGTCATTACCTGCCTGAGCCTTTGCTGAACCTGAGCGCCGGTGATAGAGAAGTGCCTTTTGTTTTGAAGAAGCCTGCCCTGAGAGAGAGATATCATTGACTTTGTAAGAAGGGGCTTGGGTTGGATTTGGGGAGCCATTCGAAGGACACCCTACATGAGCACTGGGACAAGCTGCTGCTCTGGGCAACATATCTCCCCCTTGCCACTCTGGGTGGCCCCTCTATTGAACAGAGCCTGCTGCTGCTTCTCTGTTCTCCCATCTCTCTTAAATTGTACGGTTTTCACTTTCCCCTGGTGGAGTGGAGTATCTCTGTATCTTGTCTGATTTCTTCATGCTAGATGTTGGGCAGGAGGCACACGTGAAATGAATAAAGACTGGTCACCCAGAGCTTTCAGGGAGGTGCTCACTATGAGATGCCAGGAGCTCCTGAGAAGAGTGGATAGGTCTGAGAATGAACTCTCTGAATTGGAAATAAAGTACAGCAGCAGGCTGGCTTGTAATATCCAGGGGCAAGAGTGGCCCTAGGGAGGGTGCTTCCTGACTTAGGTGTAACTGTTTGAAACATGCCTTGTTGAGCAATGTTGGAGATGCTCACAGTCTGGCTCTCAGGACTGGGAAGACATAACAGAATCACTGAAATCTCCCAAGATTGTGCAGACCAGGTAGGTCACTGTCTTTTCTACTCGTCTCAGGCTCTTTAAGGGCAAGAGCTACCTGGAAAAAGAGGTATAGGGAAGTGCATCCAAGCATCTGCAAGAGGGTGTCCTACTCAAACGATAAGGAGGAAGCAGTTTCGTGCACCCATACATTACTCAAACAACAGATGCCCTTCAATGTCTGGTGGGAAATGTCACTAAGAGGAGCCCTACTCTGTGCCTTCTGTCCCAGGTCCCAAGTTCCTTGTGAGCTCTGCCTCTGTGCCCCAGGGGAGGCTTCAGGCTGACCAGCTCAGCAGAGAGGTGAAAAGAAGAGGGAAGCCTCCTCAGTCACCTCTGAGATAAAAAGAAGAAAGAAAAAAATAAAAGAGAGGGGGAGAAAGAGAGAGAAAAGAAAAAAAATCAAAGACTAATCCTAAAAATTCTCCTTTAATCTTAGAGCTTCCAGACCTAGTTTCTCTTTCATCTAGGACTTCGAAGTTATCTAGTTATTTTATGGGTAGTGAAACCACAAGGCGAAGAGAGGGTGGTGGGGGGGAGATTAAATTAATGAGCAGGTAAGCAGGTTTATTATTTCGTCTGATCCTTCCTTCCTTCCTGCTAATTTCTCTGAGCCAATTTGGGAGGCAGAGCCTATCATGTTAACTCAGAGACAGAGTATTGTATCCATGTTCTTTCTGAAGTCATTTATCTGAAGGATATTAAAGATCCAATTTACATAGACATTATGGCATTGTGAGGAGGGTGTGTGCATGTGCGCAAATGAAAGCGAGTGAGCGAGTGAGAGAGAGCACGCACGCTAAGGTATCCATCCAAGTGGGCCCGTGTTTGTGTACATACTCAACCTCCAATGAGTGCCATCTCTCATGAGGCTCTCAGAGAAGTTTGCAATCACTCAGCAAGTTAGTTCAAGAAGTCATTGGGCCTTGACAGAAATCAGGCTCCAGGCAACAGCGGAAATGTTTATTAAATTTGTGCTTCAACCCTCAGGCTCCTGCATTTCCTTATCGTTGCTCCTAGGTTCACAGTAGAGGAAATAGGGCCCTCTTGAGCTTGATACCTGCTTAATTAAATGCCTGATCGTATTGACCCAGCCCATGCATGTGCCTGTGTAATGAGGCACGGGGTAGGATAGATGCAGAAAAGAGGTCAGTTTCCCAGGTTAACCCTCAGCTCCCAGGTTAACCCAATCCAGTAAACAGAGAGCCCTCGATTCCCCACAAGAAAACTGGGTGACCTGGGACATTCTATGTAATCTGGCAGCTGGGTCTGTCATTTTAATCCCTCATGAAACATAGATAAAAAACACCTATTCTTCCTATGATTCTTCTTTGTTAAAAGCACAGAATGAAGAGATATGCATAATAGCACGCTACAGAGAATTTAGCAAGAATGAGGGGATATGAAGCAAGTATAGTGGTTTGTTGTGAAGATTCTTTCAGCAATAGCCGACGTCCCTTTGCTGATGTTGGGCTAACCAAGGAGCCTTGTGATGGATAATCTGGCCTCCTAAGCAGACTTTCTCACCAGCCCATGCCAATGGCTAGTGCCAGCGGTCCTGTAAGGGATGCTGCCATTGTGAATGAGTGTGCTGTCATTCACCTCCAATGCTTCCATTCATTTATTGTGTATTAGTCTGTTTTCACGCTGCTAATAAAGACCTACCTGAGTCTGGGTCATTTATAAAGAAAAGAGATTTAATTGACTCACAGTTGCACATGGCTGAGGAGGCTTCACAATCATGGTGGAAGACGGATGAGGAGAAAAATCATGTCTTACATGGCAGAAGGCAAGAGAGCATGTGTAGGGGAACTCCCATTTATAAAACCATCAGATCTCATGACACTTATTCACTACCATGAGAACATTCAATTATCTCCACCTGGCCCTGCCCTTGACATGTGGGGATTATTACAATTCAAGGTGAAATTTGGGTGAGGACTCAGCCAAACCATACCACATTAGTTCTTCCATTGTTCGACTGCCATTCATTGATGATCTGGTACAATTGTTCATAGCCGTGACTTGACTTTAGATCACCTGTGAAGTTATAACACTCATGCCTGGGCCTATTCCCAGACCAATTATTTCAGAGGCTCTGAGAGTGGCTCCTAGCCACTGGTATTTTAGTAAAGCATCCTAGGCTGTTCTAATGAGCAGACAGGGCTAAAATCATTGACCTGGTATATGCCATACATTGTGCTTGTCCCAGAAGATACACAGATGAATAAGATGCTCTTAGCTCAATGCAAACCATCCCCCTAGTACTGATCACCCCTGGGAACATGGGGTGATTATATTAATATTTCTGATTTTGAAAAGCTGAGGATCAGGATGAGACCTAAACTTTCTGATGACCCCTCTAGATGATCTTCTCCATCTGCCTTTACTCATGAGCCCAGCTTGCTGGCCTCACCCCTGCTCTTCAGAATGAGAAGCACTGCCTAAGTCCCAGGTATCCCAGTGTGGCCTCTCTCCTGGTCCGGGCATCTCCCAGGTCACTGCCTGCAGCACAGTTGGTGAAGTTGGTTTGGTGATGGTTGGTCTGTTTTCCACCCAGGTTCTGGGCCAGGTCTTCCTGGAATCCGTGAGGAGACAATACTCTCAACAGTCATCTGCCTCATTTTTCTTTCCTCCAGTTGCTCCCAGAAGACTGGCTCCTTTCTTCCCTCTTGAAGCCTGGGTTCTTGTTGGACCTGCAGTGAAGTTTATGGTTTGTTTCTGAAACAACTAAGCTCATTTGAAAAGGTGAAAACTGGCTATTCTTCTGTAGATGGATCCAGATCAAGTGATGAGCCGTGTCCTCTTCAGGATTTTATTATTTGGTCAGGTGACACCTCCTTCAGGCAGTAATCTTTCAAAGGAGGCCATTTTCCCACAAGATGCCTTTGTCCTGACGTCTTCCAAGCCTTGGTTATGTTTGCCTCCTCAGTAGTCCTGCCCTGAGCAGCTTGCACCCTGCATTTTTAGTTCTGTGCCTGTCACAAGTCAGAGAAGTGGTAGTAGCTTAGGTCAAGGAACAGGCTTATAGCTGAGATGAAAGTCAGTCTTCCCAATCAATTGTTTCTTCTGTGACTCCCTCTTCAGAGCTGGCTGCTACAATCGGATGAGGTTATGATGTTTTATCAAGTCTGTTAAGGATCTGTTTCTTTCTGCAATCAAAACTTTGTTCCCGTCTTCTCGGGGACTTAAAATACTGTCCTTGAACCGAGACGGGGCCCTTGCGCATTAAACACACTTGCAACTTCAAAGCTATGCATGTGTTGCCACAGAGGGTCCCAGGGGAGCGTCAATAAGAGACGTGCGTTTGCTGTAGTACAAAGAGAAGCCTCGCTTCTTGATGGAGTTGATCTGAGGGGTGGGGGTGCCAGAGGGGTTTGTTGTTTGTCTCCAAAGGAAGAGAGGATTAAGGGAGGAGAGGCCTAAACTCCAGGAGCTGCTGGCTACCTTCCCAAGAGGCTCATGGTCTCCTACTGGGGTGGCAGTGAGGATGATGCCAAGACCCCTGAGGCACTACTGTGCCAGCTGTTTCTGTCCTTTGAATAATCCTAAAAACACTACCATTTGTATAGCATTTTTCCATGTGCTACCTCACTTGATGCTCACACTAGCTCTGTGAGTAGGCAATGCTATTATTTCAGGTGTCAAATGAAGAAATGGAGGCTCGAGAGGTCAAATTGCATGCCAGTGTTTGCCCAGCTAATATTAGACCTATGTTCTTTCTTCTTTCAAAAAGGTGGCAAGTAGATTTCAATACCTGATTGATTGATAGCTGTTGCCTAGAAGGAAGGCTGTGTGGAAAAGGATTTTCAGGTTGCACCCGGGCTCAGTGGGAAAGAAGGCTGCGGTTGATTGGTAAGGTCAACTTCCATTTTATCATTCAACTGGGCCAGTTTTGAGAGTGAGAGGAACTGGATTAATCATGGTGCCTGAATATCTAGTATAAACTTGAACTGTCCTGGACAAACTAGGATGTTTGACACCTCATTAAGTAATCATGTGTGGTCAGGGTATTGGGCTGGGGTGGTGGGCAGGGACCACAGTGAACATGTCAGCTCTGTCTTATTTCTATGACTTCTATGAGGACTGCTCTTCTCATCCCATTCTCAAGGGGACTGGTTCCAGCCTTTTATTTCCTGAAAAAGTGGAGGGGAGAGGTCACAGAGCAGAGATCATTTGATATGACCACAATCTAGACCATAACATGTCCTTCCCACTTGTGCTCTCAAATCCCCACTCCCCTCATTTCCTGTGTGCATAAGGTGAATAGCTCATTTCATCAGCAGTGCTACCACCATCTTTAACCACTCCCTCCCCACCAGCTTGAAGATGGCTCAAAATCTCTCAAAACCCCCTCTTGTGCTTATTTGACAACCGTTTGTTCACTGGTGGAATTCACTGCCAGACCCACATCGATTCTTGCTCTGACTAGTTCAACAGCCTCCTCGCTCCTAACTGCCTCCTATCTTGTTTTCTCCATTTCATTATGGTATTTCCAAAATTCTTAATGCAACTGTACCGATTCCTAAAAATTGTCTTTGATTTTTCACATCTAAAACCATTAGGCTCACATTTCCAGCCTTCCAGGATCACCTTCCATTATTTCCCCACACAGACCATATTCTGACTTTCCCAGATTATTCCCCATTTTTTGAATGCATACATGAAACAATTTTCAAGCCTCTATTCCAGTGTACTATTCCTGCTGTAGTCTCTTCTCTTACCTCTTCTTCTGCCTGATTAATATCTATCTACTTAACCCTTAAAATTCCACAACTCCTATCAAACCCTCCCCTGTCCCCAACCCCAAGCAGGACTAATTTCTGCATTCACATAGCATGTTTTCACTTACAGTATAGATACTGGCTTGCAGCTTTATTTCTCCTACTCAAAGGAGTTGCATGTTGTTTATTTCTAACATGGTGCCTGGCACAGTAGCCACCTAAATACTGTTTGAGTAAATGAAGAGGTGAATGATGCTAGACCCCTGGACAGAACTTCTTTCTTCTAAAATGTTGAGGCCATCATGGAATTGCTCTTATGGTTTGGGTTCTAGGGACTGCTCTCATGAAAGGGACCAAGGAAGATGAGGAGGATGGTGGAATGAGTGGAGTAGACCAGCTTTGCCTGCTGTCCTCTGTGGACTCAAGGTAGAGGCCAGAGGGCAATGGGGTTGGGGAATGGTGGAGAGGGGGTGTGCATGGCCCACCTAACTTGCCAAGAACTCTCTGCTCTCTGCAGAGAAGTAGAAAGTGGGGAACAGAGAATGGAGAATAAGCTGGAAAAACAGCTCCTTTCTTTACCTTCATGTACCCTGTACCTTACCTTAAGCTTTCTCTTCTGCCCAAAAGCTGTGAGTGACCTTCTTTACCTGACCCTAGTAGCATTCACTCCTGCCTCTCCCCTTCTTCTGTGGCACTGGCCTTGCCATCTGGATGGTGCAGGAGCCTGCTCTCCCTGACCTTCCCTTCTCAGCTCCTTCCTGGAACACCAAGCTTAGTAATGTACCTCCCTTGTTTCCACCAGCAATCTCCCCCACAGTGATGTTGCAGAGGAGTGGAGTGGGGATGGGATTGGGGGAGGAGGGTCGCCTGGACCTCAGCCTGAAATAGCAAGTTCAAGGGCTCACAGCCCCTGTGAGCTGCCCCAGCCTCATTCTGAAACCCACTTAATCCCAGCCTCTTGCTGGGTGGAGGGGCTCTGCTGCAGCTTTGCCCTGGCCTCACCATTGACCCCTTGCTACGAAACTGTTTATCTGCCTTTCTCCTCTTTGCCTCGGCACATTTTGGCAGCCCAATTAGTGCCTTGCAGATAGTTTCTTGAGTCTGAGCAATCCTCCTACCCAACCTTTCCCCTGCCGACTTCCCTTTCCTGCCCTTGTAGGGAGATGTTTGACAAGCTCTTTTCCATTTCATCTTCAAGCAGGCTGACACGCTCAGAAGCTCTGCTGCTGGCTTCCAAATGAAAAGCGGGTTAATGAAGGCGTATTTTCCAGCTTGTTTTTAAAAGGGAAAACAAAAGAGAGAGAATAGGTATCCTAGTTAATGGTTCCTAATTGCTTCTTTTCCGAAAAGTCTTCAGCGTAAAACAGCCTAATTGAGAACTTCCTAATCTTGTGCTGGAGAGGAAGCAAGGCTGTGCCTTGCACCTTGTAACTCCCACTCATCCTTCAGACCCCGCTGGCTGCCATCTCCTCACAGGAACCTTCCCTTCCCCTTAGACGAAGTCAGGTGATTATACTGGACACTGTGTGGCGCAGCCTAGAACATTCTGAGGGACAGAAGTGTGTATTCTGCCAGCTGCTGGAAGGGTTGTCTGCAGACAGCCCTCACCTGTCAGCCCTCTTCAGGAGTTGTCCTTATTGAAGGACCACCTTGTCCGAGGTCATCCTTCTTTCCTGGGGCAGCTTGCATCCAATGATTGGCCTATGCAAGGACATGAAGGCCTGGACCACTCATTTCAGCTTGGCACAACTCTGAAATGCTATTCCGGCTTGTGGTGGCATCAGCTGAGGCTGTTAATGAGACTGCATCTCAGCCCAACTTCTCCCTCTGCCCATTCTAGCTTCCTTCCTTCACACTCATCTCCAACTCAGGGTCTGCTCCCTGAGGAACCTGACCTGTAACAGTAATCCTCCTTGGCATTGTCATACATCCTTCCTAATCCTCCTCATCAGTGTGCAGTCATATGTTGGGTGCCCAAAAAGGCATTTTAGGAGGGGCGTAATGCAATGAGGCCATTTATGTCTTTCAGTTTAGCAGAGATAGATGGATTTGATCTTTGCAGACTTCTCATGCCCTATTAATTCCTACAAAACATGATCTACCTGTCTACCTACCTATCTATTGTCATCTGTCTACCTATCATCTGTCTGTCTACCCATGCATCCATCCATCCATCCATCCCTTCCTCCCTCCATCCATCATACACCTATCTGTACTAGAAGCTGTAGGTGCCCCACCAAGACTCCCTTTACTGGCTGATGACCCCATGTCCCAGCTGCTGTAACTATTGGTGCATAACAGTTCACAGGTGCACCCTTTTCTGGAGCGCCGTCCTTGGCCAAATGGGAGCTGCTTCCCCATGGAGACTGTGCTCTCACCTCTCCTTCCCCAGTGGCAGACCTCAGCTGATGACTGACGAGCATGGGGTAAAAGGGCAATTCTCTTGCTTCAAGGTGAGACAAGCTCTGAGGAATTCGCACTGCAGCGCTACCTGCCCATGAGATCAGATTGGAGCTAGTTGTCAGCCAAGGGCACATTCCTCATTAGCTTTTCTTTTAGTGCTGTTTTGCTTCTAATATGGTTTGGCTGTGTCCCCACCCAAATCTCATCTTGAATTTTAGCTCCCATAATTCCCATGTGTTGTGGAAGGGACCCTGTGGGAGATAACTGAATCGTGGGGGTGGTTTTCCCCCATACTGTTCTTGTGGTAGTGAACAAGTCTCATGAGAGATGATGGTTTTATCAAGGGAAACCCCCTTCACTTGGCTCTTATTCTCTCCTTACCTGCTACAGCGTAAGACGTGGCTCTGCTCCTCCTCGTCTTCTGCCAAGATTGTGAGGCCTCCCCAGCCACGTGAACTGTGAGTCCATTAAACCTCTTTTTCTTTATAAACTATGCAGTATCAAGTATGTCTTTATCAGCAACGTGAGAACAGACTCATACAGCTTCCCTCAACCCCCCTCTTCAAGTATACCACCCTAAAAAAAAGCTTTAACAAGGGTCCTCATATCAGGCTCTGTTTTTTGAGGAGCCTGACCTGAGACATTTGGTATTGAGCATGGTCCTAAAAAGCAAACAAACAAAACAGAACAAAAAAAAAAGCAAAAAAGAAAAGAAAAAAAAAAAAAAGCAGACACCAAGTGTGGGTTTCTAGAACTGGATTGCAATGAAGCGGGTAAAGTGCTGATGGTTCCTGGCAGGCTGTAGCAGTGGGATTGCTAACACCTTTACCTAGGAGAACTGGAAAGGGGCTGTACCAGCTGGCCCAGTGTCTTGGGAATTGGGAAGATGTCTGCTAGGGCTGCCGTAATATCACAGACTAGGTGGCTTAAACAACAGAAATGTGTTTTCCCATAGTTTTGGAGGATGGAAGTTTGAAAACAAGGTATTGGCAGGTTTAGTTTCTCCTGAGGCTTTCTCCTTGGCTTGCAGATGGCTGCCTTCTCACCGTGTCTCCAGATGCCCTTTCCTCTGTGCATACGTCCCTGGTGTCTCTTCCTCTTCTTGCAAGCACACCAGTCATATTGGATTAGCGTCCAACCCTTATGACTTCATTGAAACTTAGGGACTTTAGAGAGGTGATTATCTCTAAATACAGTCACATTGGAGGTTAGGGTTTCAACATATGGATTAGGGTAGCAGGGTACAATTCAGTCCATAATAGGAGCTTAGGGAGATATCACTATACAGACCGTGGAACTGGGTGGGTTTTGCTAAGCACTACTGATTTGTTGAAGAGAGAAAATGGCAGGCTCAAATCTACTAATTAACAATTTAAAGCAAAGTACTAGGCGTTTAAAAAGACCTTCCATTCCTACAGACAGGGGCAGGCAGAGCTAGAAACCAGGCTCAGGGTGTAACTGTAGAAGTGGCAGAACTTCAAAGAAGACTGAATTCTCAGCCTAGGTGAGTCACCTGTGCTGACAGCGGGGCTGTGACACAGAAGGTGTGGGACACTGACACTTGGGATGGGACTATCTGGATAGCTGTGCTTGAGAACTGAATCCTCAGAGTTTCCTGGACCTTTTGGGCCTGCATAAATGGCCCACTGCCATTTCAAGCAAGCAGAGGACTCTGCTTGCTTGAAAATGATGCAGAGACCTTACATGAGGCCTTCTAACAGGCCAGTGCATGCCTCTGGATTTGCCCCCATCTCCCCACCTGGCCACCAGATCACAAATTGGGGTCAAATCTCAGCATAGACAGACTGGGGAAGGGTCTGCTGAGGGATTAGAGGATTCTCTCCGAAGCTGCAGGACCTGGCTACAATACAGTGGGGCCAGGAACGAGGGGTGGATCCAAAGGACCTAGATTGGGGAGGGGGCCAGAATATAAAGTTGGATAGGGAGAGTTTTCATGGCAGGGCACTCTCCCATGACACAGGATAGAACATCCTGGTGAGGGCCCCAAGTTCTGCTTCTAATGCACTGCTGAGATGGCCCTTGGAAGCTTGGAGAAAACATTGGCCCACATTAAACAAAACAGAGTTGCTGGAACTGCCATGGTCAACTGGGCAGAAAGAGACTAAAAGGCTCAGAGAAATGGGCATGCTAGAGTGGGCCTGTTATCTAATACTAGGAAATCTACTCTCAAACTGTTTCTCAGGAAGGCCTGGAGATCACTCAGTTTACTAGGGTGATTAGGAATGTGTCAGTGAGGGACACCAGTGTCAGCAGAGAGGTTTGGGTAGGATTGAAGAGATTGTATTTCAGAATTTCTACTAGGCTCCCTAGTAGAAATGGTAAAAATCCCAGCACAGAAGAGGCCAGGTGGTAGCATCTAACTGTCAGAAGCACGGTGGGTATAATTACTGTAAGGGGCAGCAAGGTTGCAGCAGCAGCTAGGAGAGCCCAGACTAAGAGATTTCTGGAAATAGTACATAAATCATGGTGTTCCTAGAGGTAAAATAGATGGGCAGCTAGCAAAGATACTTGTGTGTGTGTGTGTGTGTAAACTCATAAGAGATCAAGAATGAATGAACATAAGACCGTCTTCAACCTTTCTAACAGAAAGTCAAGCTGCCTTGCTAGTTTCCAGAACTGAGCCAGTTCTCAAACCCAGCGCTCATTGACCATTGATTAAAGGGGAGGCCAAGTTCCCACAAAGACAAACCCTGCAGTGCCATACTAAGTGGGCACAGTAGTGATTCCCCCAGTTCTATAGGTCCCCAAATGACCTATAGTTGTTTACTCACATAACCAGGCACTGGAAAGAGGAAATACCCAGAGCCTTTTGAGGTCTGTTGGAAAAAAGTTCTGAGTTGATGCTGATGTTTGGGGACACAAGCACAATTATGACACTCCTGTTAGAGAGGTCAGAGGGGACCTGGCGATAGATGGAGTTCTGGCCCTGGCATGTCTCAAAATGGTCCACCTAGTGGTCATTTCTCTGGTTCCTGAAATATAATTGGATTGGACATGTTTAGCAAGAGATACAACCTTTACATTAGTTCTTTGACCTATAAGAACTATTGAATAGGAAAGGCCAGTAGAATGTACTGAAAGTTTCCTCTCTTCACCAGGATAGTAAATCAAAAACCATGTCACATTGCAGGGAGGATGGCAAAGATTAGTGCTTCCCTAACTGGTTTAAAAGATACTGAGGAGGTGGTTCCTGTCATTGTATGGGACAGGGTTGGTGATAAACCCCAGAGACTTAGGGTACTGCCACATCATTGAAGTTTTTAAGGAATTAATAGCCTAGGGATAGCCCCTCCCCAGGACAAGTTATTACTCCTTGTACCTCCTATCATTAAGAAATAAGCATAACACTTAGTTGGCTTCTCTGTGTTCTGGAGGCAGTATATTCCACTCTTAGAAATTCTGCTTCAATCCCTTTATCAGGTGACAATAGAAGTTCCCTTACATGGACAGTGCAAGCTAGGTCAACCCACCAGGCAAGTCCCTTAGACCAGTAGAAACGCTAGCTACATGTGAGGGGAATCTAGAATAGGTGGAGGTAGAAGATCATGAACAGCAGTCATAGCCTTGGGAACATGCAGCAGGGCTGTGGTTTAATCTATTAACCTTTCTTTTGCACCAACCTAATGTGTCTCCAAGGAGACTGTGATCTGTCAGAATTCTGAGGATGCTGTGTCTGGGTGGCGTGAACTTAGTGAAAGAAGAAAGTAGATAGGAGCTGTGCAAAGGGTGAACTGCAGTAGACGCTACTGGTGCCCAACCCAGATGCTCTTCAGCCCCTGCAGATACTGGCCAGCTGGCTTGGGAGACCACAGTCCCTGGGAGTTTATCTCAGACAATGATTGACTGTCACATGCGGGACAAAGGTCCCCAAGGTGGGTCTAACTCTTGGATGAGGGGCGGTGATTTAGAGTTCTTGGGTAGAGCTTGCCCATGGGATCAGAAGCAAGTCTAAAGCTACTTTTAGCTGAGACACATTTTCACTCAGCTCCCCGTCTCTCCTGCCTTCTCCTTCCCCCTCACTCCTAAGAGTACATCCTCCAATCAATCTTCCTCAATAAATCACTTGGGCAAGAATCCCTACTCAGGATTCGCTTCTAGACAATATACACATGTGTGTGTGCATTTGTTATTTTTAATACATAATACCTCTTTCTTCAATGCCACCATCCAGTGTACACCTCACAAATCCAGTTGTCACATTTGCACTCCCTGAATCGTGTTCATTGACTACGTGACCCACAGATATCTAAGCCCAATTTACTGTATGGTCTCTCATACCTCAGTTAACTAATTCCAATCTACATTTTTTGAAGGATGGAAAACTTTTCACTAGGAAGATTTTACCAGTTCAAACTGAGTCAGAGGAGTCGCATCACATAAATGAACTTCAACTTCCTGAATTTCATCATAGAAAGTCGGAGAGAGAGAGAGGGAGAGAGCCTTTTATTTACCTATTGTCCTCTCTTCCACAGTTCAAAATCAAAGAGAAATAAAAGGAATTAATTTTTTGGGTTTTGAGCTTCTGAGAGCCCAGCTCTTGTAGATTTTTAAGGATTTTCAAGGAGAATTTTGACAATATCTCTTTTTCCCTTGCATGTTTGATTTTAAAGCAGGCTTTCCTGCTTAAGGTAAAACTCAACTGTGATAAACTATTGAATTATTCCATAACCTAGACTCTTCATTTCAGAGTAGGCTTCCCCACTTTGGTCTGGATTAGTGAAGTTTGACTACATGTGGACAGCAAATGAATTGCAAATCATATGTAAATGTGTATAAATTAGCACCAGTTATTAGAATAATTTGCATTTACAGCTCTGTAATTAGGCAGCAGCCTGGGAGAGAAGGGCAGTGGGCAAGGGACCCAGGAAGCTGGGAAGGCAGCCCAGAAGTCCTGGGGTCCCCACCTCTATGTTAATGAGGCTCAGTTTTCCCTTCCCTAGGCCCCTTAGCACAAGACCTTGGGGATCTAAAACCTGTACCTTGGCTTTTGGATTTCCAGTTCTTGCTAAGATTCTTCACTGCTGCTGCTCAGGGGCCTTGACTTCTCCGGCTCAGTGTAGCACAGTGAGAGGTCAGGGGATTTGGAGCATCGAAGTCTTAGATCTATTGCTTTCAGGGTAACTTTGGCCAAATTACTCTCTGATCCTTAGTTTGCTCATCTAACAATGGGGTTTATAACAAAAACTTGCCCCCATTCTATCACCCAGTACTATGGGGTTCACATGAGACTCTGTATGTGACCCTTACTAGCCTTTACATGCATTTGTTATTATTATAACAGCTGAGTTCATCTAACTAACACATGGTGGATCCAGGATTTAAACAGATTTGTCTGGCTTCACATCACGTTTGTATCACTGTGTCCCATGGTCCCAGCAGGTAGCATGCATGAAGAACAGTTTATTCCCACACCATCCACTCTCCTGGCCCTGCCTGGCCTCCTGCCTCACTTGGGTGCAGATCTCTGGTGGCCAGGGATGGGCCCTTAATGCCTTTTGCACTCTATCCTTAAAACACTTCCTGGTAGAATGTACTTTGGTGAGTACCCAGCTCTTGGAGCCCATGTGTGTCTATAAGTTTATCTTAAGCATTTCTCTCGCTTTCCCTTTAGCCTGGAACAAGAGAAACAGCATAAAGCCCTTACCCACTTCTCTGCAGCCGCCCTTGGATAACCCCCGCTTTAGTTGAATGAGGGTAGCTACAGAGGCACAGGGAGTTGGAAAGAATGTGTGATGAAAGCATGATCACCTACTTGCCTGTGGAATGAATCAGATAATATTTTTAAAGAAAATTTGCCACTTATTGTTATGAAAACACGTTTGTGCTCTGAACCCAGCCTGGAGGATGCTCAGACGGGGAAAGGTACTGAGGGCTGGGGGTCATCCCCAAGCAGATACTAGAGAAAGATCACAGGATCTAGGTTAAGAATCAAATACTGGTTCCTGCTCTGGGAACTTGTAAGCCTTCTGAGCCTTCTTGTACCCTTCACAGAGTGACTGTGAGGATGAAATGGGATTTTAGATGTAAAAGGAATTTGCTGTCATTTCATTATTATCAAGAACATGCATCACAGACCAATCAGATCTTCAGTTCCTGCCCATCCCTTCATCCCTCAACACACATGCCATGTGCCAGTGGTAGAGAACTGCTGGTCATTCCAATAATCTTTATTCATGCTGCCATCTTCCCTCAATGGCTTTTCCTGCTTCATTTGCTTGGCCAGTGTCTACTGATTAATTCATTCAATGGTTGGATGTTTATTGAGTACCTACTATATGTGAACCACTATGATGGACACAGGTGACACAAAGGTTAACTAAAGAAAAATGGTTCCTGTGCTCATGAAGCCTATATTTTCTGAACCATTTAATACTCAGCTTAAATATGAAAGCCCTTTCTTGACATCTGTTCTCCCTTAATAGTTTGAAGCACCCCTCCTTTTTGCCCTGCCAGTGTCTAAGGTTGTCTGTCCTAGTGCCTTTAACATTGCACTAACTCTTGCACATTCTACTCCCTCTCTCCTCTTGCCTTCTTCCTCTTCACTTTGCCTTATCTCTTTCCTTTCTTCTGCTGTCTCCTCCCTCCCTCCTACTGGTAGCCATCTTCTTTGTCCTTCCTTGGAATTTCTGAGGCCAATCCTTGAAATGAGAAGGTGACTACTTTCAAACAGATAAAAGAAAGCCCTTCTTTTCCCAGCAGATAATTAATTTCTGTCACTTGCTGGTCGTGGAACATAATTGAGGCCAAGGGCTTAAGAAGGCCCTGAGAAGGAATTAGACACATAGTCACACCAGGGGGAACGTATCACTCACTCTGCTTCCCCATCCCTGGAGGGTGAGGTCAGCGAGCCCTGCCCTGAGCTAGGTAGCAAAGAGCTTCTCAGCCTATTAAGGGGCCTGGCCAGGCACAGTGTTCACTTACCACATAGTGAGCAGAGGTAGTTTTCTGGCACCAGAGATGTGTAGTCAAAGGAACTTGCCACATAGTGAGCAGAGATAGAGCTTTCTGGAACCAGAGGTGTGTAGTCAAAGGATAGATGCAGAATAAGACTGAAGTCCCAAATTCAAGTCCCAGGTCTGTCATTTTGCTAGCTAAATGATTCAGACACATTTCTTCACCTCTCAAAGTCTCCAGTTCCTTGAAACCCAGGGCTCCTGTGTGCTGCTTCTCCCTGGGCTGCGAGAGGCTCAGGAACTGTAGTAAGCTTGGGAGGGTGAGAGAAGAAAAAAGGAAAGAGATAAGGCAAACAAGGGAAGGAGAGGGCAAGAGAGGAGAGAGGGAGAAGAGTGTGCTAGAGTTAGTGCAATGTTGACAGCTCCGCAAGTGTAGACATGAAGGACTGAGTGCTCTGTGGATACTCATGATATTTCATCTTTGGGCATAGTGAAAGGCTAGACACTGGAGAAGAGAGAATGTGTCCCAGAAACTTAAAGTCTGACATTGGTCTTGGCTACATGAAGCATCTTGCAGGCATAGGGTAATCTCAGGTGAGATCCTGGGAGCGGAAGTGATCTCAGCATCCCCTAGTTCCATGCCTGCATCCAGCACTAACCAGCTATGAGGTCTTGGCAAGTGCTTTTTCCTTTCTTGACTCTCAGTTTCTTTATCTGCAAAATAGACATTGGGGGTTGGAGCAAGGAAAATTGTACGTGATCATGATTTTGTAAAGCCTATTCCTCGGAACATCAGTGAAAAAATTTAGGGAAAAACAAATTCCAGGGGAAAAAAGAATTCAACAAAAAATTTGAGAAATGCTCCATAATATATACAGATAATCAGAGTGCAGATTAGCATATTGCATCTCTTGAAAATCCTATAATAGGGAGAACTGTTTTTATTTAACCTGGTTTGGTCCAAATTTTGCAGAGTCCTTTATTAACATCCTGTGGATATTGACACTACCAGGAACATGCCTTAGGAAACAATCTTTTGGGTTGTTATGCATCGAACATTTTGTGCCTCCACATAGCTCATAGGGCAATTCCATACAGACTGGGGAGGAAAGAGAGAGTTCAACCTCACACTAAAACTTGTCCAGTGGTTAGTGCTGTGCTGTTGTAGAATGTCCTACTGAATCTGTCTGTGAGCTCCATTCTCCTGATTATGTTTGACTATGTCAAGTGACATCCAGCCAGCTTTCCCTGAACAGGCAACATCAGACAGAGGGAGGGATGGTGGCAGGGGACCCAGCAGATAGGGATCCCCGAGTAGATAATTGGGAGTGCATTGCAGCTGCAGGCATGTTGCTCATATTGCAAACTAGACCCCCAAGGCATTACGTGAGCTGAGTCTTGGGGAACTGGTAGCAGGTGTGTTAACCTGATATTCTACCTGTAGAATGCCAGCAAGGAGAGTGAAACTGTGCAATGCTACTCAGCATTTTCAAGAAAAATGAGTTGAGCAGTTAAACTGTGCCCAGCACCGCATTGATTATTGGTGACAAAGAGGTGACTCAGACACAATCCCTGCCCATGAGGTACTCTCCAGCTGGGGGATGTAGGGGAAATAGGCAGCAGCAAGTAAATAGGTAACAGCACCTATTCTCAAGCATTGGTGTGCGGTAATAGCCTGGGAAGTTTGTTAGAAATTCAGGCGCTTGGTCTCTGCCCCAGATCTTGAAGATCAGAGTCTATATGGTGGAATCCAGGCATCTGTATATTATGATATGCGACTAAGGTTGGGGAATTACTGAATTACCTTGACAGGGTTAATGGGGAAAGCATGCACTTTGGAGTCAGAATGTCAGTGAGGTGACCCTGGACGAGTCCCGCTACCTCTCCAAGCCTGAGTTTCTTTATTGAAGATGCTTATGCATATGGAGGAGGATGACATTGGGACACCGTGTGTGAGGTACCTAGCACAGTGTCTAGCACCCCACAGTCAGGAAGTGGTGGCCATTCTTGGTACATTTACTGAAGTACAGTAGAAACATCGAAAACAGAAAAATCACCCACTCAAGTCCACTTCGACAGGCCCTATCCCAAAACGCAGGAAGGAGCCAGGCTGGGTTCTAGACATTTCTGGTACCAGCTGGAGCAGGGCACGCTGAGTGCTGCGCATTGCTATAAAGAGATACCATTTAATTGCGGAAGGTGACATTGGGCCCAACACTTCAGCGCTTTTTACAAGGGGGAGTTTGAGACTTCTGGAGTTCGGCAGAGCTGCATGGCTCTATTTAGCCAAGATCCAAATTCCCGTTACAGCAGCTCTTTTGGTCTGATTCACACATTTAGTAGCAAAGCATTCACTTCCTTACAGCATTATTAATTTCCTGTGGGCATGCCTTATTGCCTTTGCTAGGTCCTTATGGCCAAGGTCTGAACATTTGACACCCCTTCTATCCCTCACCTAGTGCTGTGCAAACAATAGATACTCAATAAAAATTTGTGCCTAATTGGTAATTAATCTGTTGCAGTGGGGAGGGCAGATGTCAGCTGTGGCTGTTTTGTCTTCAATTTGGGTTCATTTCCACCTTTAAAGAGCTTGTGCATTATTATATTATCATATTATGCAAACTAAATATTCTAAAAAGACTGATAGTTAACAAACAGACTAGTAGATTAGTGATTGCCTGTGGGATTCATCCTAATCAACCAGCCTACTTATCTGCCTGTGATCAGGGCCCCGAATCTTTATCATTCAGCTGACTGAAGCAACATACCAGGTTCCCAGAGGAGTAGAACGGGATTTCAATTACATATCCTTTTTTTTTTTTATCACTTCACTGAAATAACATGGGCTCCCTGGCTCTAAATTGCTAAAAACCCATTTAAGTTAAGGAGACAAATAGACACTAATTACAGAGCAAAGAGGAGTCCAAAGCATCAAGGCGCTTGGCTGAGATGCCTTCCGTCACTTCCTCCAATGTGAAGCTGGAAGAAATTGAAGTCTCCTCCTCTCCTGCTTTCCCACTCTCAGGAACCCCTCCCCTCAAGGGGTAGGAGTTTGGGGGGCGGGGTACAAAAGAGCCATCTGTGGAGAGAAGTTTGGATGTTCCTCTTTTAGCCCTGGCAAGCTATTAACTTGAAGACCATGGCATCTGTTTCTTTTGTATAATAATCTGTGTCGTTGTCTACATACTTATCTATTTAGAGGCACCCTCAAATCCTAATCAGTACTGCAGCTTCCCAGTGAAAAGAGTAATAATACACAGGCATTAGGTGACCTGAATCCTGCCTGTTCCATGATCAAATGGTTATGTGACCTTCACCTTGGACAAGTCACTTCGCTGCTTGTGCTTCACTTTCCTCTTTTGTACACGACGTGCTGGTCAATATTTAAACAGCTCTCCAGGGGGGAGAAGCCCTTATTTGTAGTTTTGCCAATTTCCATGGTGTAAATACTCCCACCATAGCCAATTTCAAGCTGCCACCCTGAAGTTACTGAACCTGGAGTCGAGAAGAAAGGCACACAATCCACTCTCTGGGGGCTGGTGTGAGATGGCTTCTGCAACCACTGACTGAGATCTCTTCCAACTCTTACATCAAATGATAATGTGATGGCCATACAGAGCTCATTTAATCTCTCTCCCTCTCTAGATAGATACATATCTCCAGTTCTTGAAGGGGAAATTAATTGGTAGGTAACAAGAAAATAACCTAGCTTCTGTCTCTTTCAGACATGGGGGAAGAGTAAAGAAAGCAATATTTTCAACATGAGATAAAAAAATACAGGATTTCATTCATTATTTATATCAGTATTTAATGAATATTTAATAACATTTATTAATGTAATAATCATATTCAAACCTTCATTGAATGGAAAAAAACTCTGCTTTTGTGCCTTTGTGAAAGAGAAGGTGGAACATTTATTCCATACAAAAGGAGTTTGACGAAACACTTTCCCCCTCTCTATCACACTCAAGTCCATGTCAACAAATGCTTGGTGGCTGAGCACTGACAAAACTCCTTGGCCACGGGGGTTTTCCCTTTTCACAAATGGCAGAGTTCTGGCAATGAGGCACTGAGTACTAACCTGGCCATTCAAGATTCTCCCGACATACACTGTGTTGCCTGTCCCTCCAAGTATTTGCCCATTTCAAATGCCTCATCCTCCAGCTTTACTGCAGGTCCTTCCCTACCTTCTAGAGCATCTTCCTGTGACCCACCATGGCACTTTGACCTTTCTTATGGCACATGGCTTATCCTGCCTTGACTACAGTCATTAGTACACTTGTCTTATTGCTAACCAGATTGTGAGCATCTTGAAGGAAGAGGTTAGGTCTTATTAATCATTTTTTTAATTTCCTGCAGTGCGCTTAATAAATGCTTTTGGAATTTTAATTGAATTTGTATGACTAGAAGGTGATGTCGTTCCATAATCTAAAGAGTTCTTTAAAAAATGAGTTCTGAAGTTACATTCTATTGAAGAATATGCAGGATAACAGTAGCCAGAAATGTTGGTGTGCAGAGGAATAGCAGACAACAAAACTCCTAGGGTGCTTTGTGGGATGCCAAAAAATACTCCCTACCTCACATGCAATGGTTTGTTTGACATCTGACTTTACTTATTTCAAATAAGTATCCATCCATATACACATTTGTTAATCTTATAATTGAAATTAATTGAACAAGATATTTTCAACATCATCTTCTCTAAGCACATATAACATTCTAGGTGGCATGGGAGATATGGAAGTGGTACAGTATAGTCTCTGCCCTCAGGGAGCTTGGAGCTGGGGAGGTGGGAAAGATCAATATCCTTGACATATAAGTAAGTGGTCCAGGGGTAGTTAGATAATAGTGCACTTAAACCTTGAAAGATGAAGTAGAATTTAAGCAAGAAGAGGGAAGAGAGAAGGAGATAGAAACAGAGAAGCATAGGAGAAGAAATAAAGGAAGGAAAATAAAGGAAGAAAAATAAAGGTATTTTAGGATATGAAGGGGAAGATGGGGAAGTGGTGGGGGTAGAGCATCATGGGGAGGGGTCTTGACTAGCTGGTGTTAGGTTTTTGTGTTGGGAGATAGTATCAGAGGTTTGCCTGAGAAATAAAAGATGTAAGTCCTTGAACCCCTGTTGAGCTTGGATTTTAAGAAGCACTGGGAAGCCACCACAAGCTTCAGGATGAGGAAGTAGCACCATAGGGACAGATGCTGGAGGCCAAGCACTGGAGCCAGACAGCTTTGGCCAGCTGGGGTCAGAAGCCTCCAGTGGGACTAGTTAGGAGAACTAGAGATTCCCAGCTTCATGATGGCAGTGAGGATGGAATGGAAGAGATGGGGGGAAGGAGGAAGAAGGAAGCATCAAGACACTTTGGGCACTGGTCAAGCTATTTGACAGTGCATCACAGAGTGGAGTAAAAGGTGATGGGTGGGTAGCTGTTAAAAAGATGCGTGGGGTGGGAGTTAGAAACAAACCTCAAAGCCATTGAGAAACCCAGGAAGATCTGTGGGGCCAGCTCCTCTTTCTCTGTCTTTTTCTCTCTTGGACTTCAAGGTTGACCTCTCTCTCTGGCTCCTAGAATCAATCCTTCTCCCTCCATAGCTATTCCACTCTCTTCTGTCTTCCATTGCATTTCGATGATCACTTACCTTTTCTTCTCTCTCAATAACTCCAACTTTTCCAGATCAACCATGACCCCACAGCCCGCCCACTGGCAAGTGACTCAGCTGCTCAATATGCGCCTCTTCATACTTCCACCAGAGGGGATCTGATTGACTCACTGTTTGCACCTGTTACATTATGGGAACAACCACCAGGTCTTGGCTCAGGTGCCATCTCCTAGTCCCATCTGCTGTGGTCTGATGGTTGTGGTGACGATGGGGTGGGGCCAGAATCTGGGTCACATTATGGAAAAAGCCAGGTACTGTTAGGCAGGGCCTCAGAAAAGGCTGTAGG